CTGTTTAAATTAGAGGCACTGGGGAAATGGGTTTTCCTCCATTTAGTATATACTTTAAATCAGTGCAGACCACTACATGAGTTACAGGTAGAATTGGGGCACAAAGATGGAAGTCTCTGTCTGTGCACAGAAACTCCTTGGGATTCACTGGAAAAGCACTGTGCTGACATCCAAACCCTGACATCTTCTTCTGCTGTTGCTGATGGTAGTATTATCCATGCATACTCTTTTGATCTGGGTGGTGAGGAACACCGTGGATCTCCACACCCATTTGATGATCCTTCCTGCTCCTCTTCCTACCTTTTTTGTGTAACCCTTCTGCTGAGCACCTGTCAGCAGCAACAAGGGCTGGGTTCAGTTTTGAAGTACTAAATATATTTTACCTTGGCTGAAGCCGCCACCCAGACTACCTGGGAAACACTACATGAATCACTAGGATGTCCACTAAAACCAACAACCCTTCCCTCGCAAGCAGTGTAAATGCAAAATCCAAGTTTATTATAAAGAAAAAGCAAAAGTGAAACTAGCTATAATTTTATAACACTACAAACTACAAAACAAAGTCTATAGGTGGCACCCTCTTGGGAAGGCTTTACCCATACCCAGGCAATCTGGGATTTGGGGCTCCCCAACAGGTAGCTCCGGGGGCCTGCACCCCTATACCTGCCCTTCAGCAATGGGCTGGGGAGTGGGTGCCACACTGGAGAGTCCTTTGAGCTGCTCCATGGCTTCACCATGCTGCAGGGAGTTGCTAGAGAGTGTAGGTCCTTTTACTTTGCAAGGGCCCCTCCTTGCTCCCTGCAAAGCTGTAGCACTGATTTCCACTGCCACATAGTAGCTTTAAGGAGTTAACTGCAGCTCTTGTCAGCATATCGCACCCCCAAAGTTTCTAGTTCTAATCCCAGCTCTGCTGGGGCAGGAAAGCCAACCAAACAGCAAAGGAGCCTGAACTGCAACCAGCACCGACCATGCTGCTTGGTCAGGACATAGAGCTATAAAAGCAACAACATGTGCCAGGCCCAGACATGCAGCGAACATACAGCGGGGCTCAGCAATACAGCTGTGCTGAGACACCACAGCTGTAAAGCAATAAAAGGGGGATTCACGCCTGTCCTGCACCAGGGCCTGAACATACAACAAAAGAGCGCCAGACCTATTTGGCTGCAGCCCGGAGATTTAGTTTCCGCTGCACTGCTATACTGAGACCTGACAGCTATGAAACAAGAAAAGAGGGGGCAGGCCTATCTTGGCTTGGACCTGAACTGCAACCTGCACCCAACCACACTGCTTGGTTGGGGCATAAATTGCAAAAGGGACAAAAGATGGCCCAGACCTATTTTGCTGGCCCTGGACTAGGCAGCCAAAAGCCAGCCAAGCCTATATGGCACAGACAAGAAGTGCCAGGGCTTCACCCTGGCCTAAATCTGTCAGCCAACATATGGCTGGGATTCATCCCCACACTGGTAGGCTGAAATGCAATAGCTCTAAAGCAGCCCAGGCTTATGGCTTCAGTCTGGATATCCAGTCTCAACTGTACCACTACACTGAGACACTACAATCCCCAACATGGGGGCCAGTGACTGCTAAGACCCTGTTTCCTGGGCAGTCTGCACTAGGACTCATGGTACCACCCCACTCAAGCCCTATGTGGCCAAAACTGCCAGCAAGACATGCAGCTGGGGCTCAGAAACAGCTATGATGAACCCAAAAGAACCAGCTATGATAAACCAAGAGCATGCCAGCAAAATTGCTAGGCTTCAGACTTGGGTAGTTTGCTGCAGGGATTGATACTCCCCCTCCCCCCAACAGCACCATCCTGCTCAAAAACCAGAAAAAAGCAAAAGAGGAAAGAAGAGGGAGAGAACAGGACTTTGCCTTCACATAGCTTCAGTCTGCTTCTCCAGTGAAGAGGGGGACCCCCCCACCCCATGGGAAGCAGACTTTCTGGCTCCCAATTCAGCTTTCAGGCTTCAGCATCCCCAGGAGGGAAAAAGAGAGCCAGCCCAGGTGGCCTGAACCTCAAATAACTGTCCTGACATCACCACAGGGTCCAAATCAGAAGCCGCATCCTTTGAACACTGCTAATGCAGACAAGTAATTTAAAGGTGGCCAGCACTCCCGGTGAAGTGGCCAGAGTCACCAAACTGGTTCCACGGGTCCCTTGGAGGGACTCCTAAGACAATGGTCTGGACACAATGCGAGGAGAGGAAGTGGTTCTCTTTCAGTCGAAGAGGAGGCAAAATATACAGCACAAACAAGATACACAGGAACATCAAACCAGAACACACTACCACACACAACCCCAGGTGTGCGGGGGTGTTACATTTGTCATCATTACAAATGCATAAAAGGGAGCCTGTTGTCAGCAAAGACTAGGTTACACTACTCATCCTACTGCTGCACTGATGTCTTGAACTACTTTTCCAAAGGGGAGGTAGAAGGTTTTATACTGCCCTGTGTAGTTTAACTTCCATTAGGAACAAAATAGGAATGTCTTCGCTGGCCTTATAGCTACGTTCGTTGAAGGAAAAATAGATACCTCCAAACGTGGAGGAGAAGCTTGTACTGTCAAATATATTAGAGGGATAGCCTAAGAGAAGCTAATTTGTGACAATATGAGCCTCATTGTGTTGCCTAGGTCAGTATGACCTTGGGAGATTGACTGCCTAATTACCAGCCATCCAGGCTGCTGGTACTTGCCAGCCCTTTTGTGCGCGTGTCTGCCTCTGTCTTCCAGATTCCTGCAGGGTTTGGGGAGAAAGGAGCACTTCCTTTTAGGGCTGGTGTCTGCCCACTGTTTGGGAAGCATCTGCTGAAGCCCTTGGCTTACCAAAGTGTATGCAATACATCTCTGATGTAGTCTAGAAAGGGGCAAATCTACCCTGCCTTCTGCCTGGGTAGCTCCTGGTAAGTTTTATTGGCAAAGAATATGAGTTACTCAAATGGGTAATTCAGGAAAATAGATGCTTATAGCCCAGGGTTAGCAGAGGGGGGAGTTTACCACCCTAAGCAAACAGCCTGTGCCATACCCTGAAGATCACTAGGTTCACGGTGTAGATGGAGGGGACAGATTCTGTGACGGGGGAGCTCTTGACGGTGCTGAAGGATTGAGTAGCAGGGCGCCGCAACAGTTGTCTGCTGCTATGAAGGGAGATGGGGGCAGCAGTAGCCATTTAAGCAGCTGGATCCTGGACCATTTCAAGCTTTGAAAGTCACAAATGTTTTAGGTCCCTCCGCTGTACACCTGCATTCCCCTCCCACCACTTCTGTGGGTTCACTGGAACCCTCTAGCCAGCAGATTTCACATTTTAATTCATTTTTGCATTTTCTCAGTACAGCTTCTACCTGCCTCATAATGTCAGGCTGACCACCCTTAACGAGAGACTCTGGGTTAATCCCTGAACTGTAGAAGATCCATTATTTAGTCCCACTGTGGGACTTTCCTTCTAATCCCACATGTGGTTGCAGGTACCATCCATGCTGCGAGTAAGCACTGTGAGTAGGGACAGACCATACACATCCTCAGTAATTTGGATTGATTTTTTTTTTTTTACACTGATGCAAATTATACTGGGGATAGGAATGGACAGACATACAGCTGTCCTGGGGTCGCTGCCTACAGCAGGTGATTCTTCCTACACCTTGCTACCACGAAGCAGGAAATAGTCTAGTTGTCTTAGCAAATAGCTACCCTGGGCTGGAAGCAGGCTGATGACATCTAAGCCATTTTAAGCTATACCATTGGAGCTTGACTTCTAATTTTTTGTAGAGTATTTCTGCATCAGACTGGGCAGAGTTACTTCAGTGTAGGGGTTTTCATCATTTATTGACTACTTTGTTTTCACTGTTGGAAACATGTTGTCTGTCCAGGCCTGGAGATACAGTGACTTACACAAGCTCAGTGAGACTATTCAATATACACAGTGCAACGCACCAGAACAGGGCTTTACAATGCTATGGCTTAAAGAGAATACAGAGGGATGGATTTTCAAAAATAATTGCATAATTGAAGCCTACACAATATTTGTTGCGAGAACAAACTCAGGGTACTTTGTGCCCAAAAGTTTGTGTAACATCTCACCTAACTACACACTTGGTCCAATAAGAGATATCCCTTGCTTGTCTTCCTGTGTCAGATGCAGGTGTATGTGCAAAGTGAGTTGTTTAAACTTTCTAATGCATTTTCCAATGTAGTTACCTGTTTATTTGTGCAACTTCATTCTTTAAGCTTGACTGATCTACCGGTGTGTGCAGAGCATTTGTGAGTGCAGTTTCAGCTGGGAATAAAAACAAGCGCATTTTGAAATCACAGTGAAGGTGCTCTGAACATTTAAGTCAGGATTAAAACACACTAGATAGCTAGTAGTTTGGTTTCCTATGATGAAATGTTTGGGGGATTTGGTTTTATGGTATTCTAAAATTTCAACATTAGCACAGGACAGTCCTTTATATCATTCCTAAAAGCCTGTTATGTGTGTCATTCTCAATGACCATGCTGTCTCACGAATGCATCGCTTTCTGCGTTCTTCCATTTTCATTAGTTACTACTTGCAACAGAGGGGCTCTCTCTCACATGGGTGGAAAATTGGGGTAACTTTGACATCTTTGGCCATCTGCTGGTATAGACGTGTGCAGAATCAGATTATTTTATATGTACAGACAGAAATAATTTCCTGCTTTATTCTGCAGGCGCTTGTTTTTGCTACTATATTGGTTCCTAGACTACCAATAAAAATAAAATCAAACCACATAATGCACATACCGCTATGTAAGAACTGGTAAGGTATCTTGACTTGCAACCTTCTCATTTTCTTTCCACTTTACCTTCCTTACCACTTGCCCATAGTTTAAAGGCCTTCTTGCTTTAGTTCAAAGCATCTCGCCCTAAAATAATGTAGCCATGTGAAATAAGCTCTTTTCCAAGGATCCCAGCCTATTAAAGTGACCTTGTTACCAAACTCTCAGCTTACTGTAATGTTTTTGGCTCTGTGTCATTACAGATTCCCTATGCAGCAAGCTTGATCAGGAAAGAAAAGCTCGGCACGCACCTCAGCAAAAGCTAAAAGGTGAGCTGATGAGCGTACTCTACAGATGGTTCAGCTGGCCTATTTCTGTATATAGCATTGCAAGTATTAGGGCATTCCCTGTGTTTCACAGCAGGGATGCTACTAGTACTGGTCTAAAAGCTCTGCTTACGGTTTATATGTTTGTGACTCTACTCTGATGATACCTAAATGTTGCTAGCAAGTTATAAATGTAACACAGGCCCAGATTGTGGGGTTTCCTTGGTAGGGAAACACCCTATAGATGAGCTGCTGTGGTATCAGATGCACATTATACTAATTTCTCCAGCTGCCCAAAGGTGTTATTAAGCTTTGTTCTCTATGGGGGATACTAACACACATTTGGAGAAGAGTTGTTAGCTGAGCTAATGAAAGGGAGGAGAAGGAAATGGGTACACTATTAGGGCACTTGTCTTTAAAGGAAAAAGGAATAGGCAGAGCAGGGAGCTGATTTCCATTAGCTAGTGACCCCTAGCTTCTCTGTACTAGTGAAGGAAAAAAGAGAGGGGGTTAGGAGTGTGGAGGAAGAAAGCACATAGAGCAGACTTAGAGTTGTTATGGCCCAGCCCTGGATTGGAGCAAAAAATATGAACATAAAAATACTAATGACCACAAAAAATATTTAGAAGCAACAAGCATAGGCATAAACAGATACAAGCCAGACAAATTACTCCAGCCCCTGTACCACATCAGTGCACAGGTAGAGAGTTACAAAGTCAGTGAAATCATTGCATTTATTTTCCTCTGCACGGGTTCTTATACGAATGTGTGTGAACCATAGACTCTTAATGCCTCGGCAGATCCTGGACTATCCGAACACCACCTTGGCATGCAATTCAAACAGGTTAATAAGTTTAATACAAAAAAATCCCTGAAAGAGAAGGGGGTTGGGACCTGCAGCAGGGTAATTCAATCAACGAAGAGCTGATCTAAAATGAAATACCTTGCCTGACCACGGCATTAGGCTCCTAATTCTTTCCTGCTTGGGACCAGGTTTTCAAAACCAGACATTCCCTAAAAAAGAAGCTGTTGGAACCACTCTGCCAGCAGGTGGGATGCCTCATCCTTATGCGCGGAGAGCACGAAGGATTGATGCATTTCTCATGCTGTTTTTGTTTTCAGTGACACACCATCCCTGCAGACAACAGGGATTTCTCTAAGTAGACCCTAGTGCTTTTGAAAGATTAGTGGTTACTTAAATGCTAAGCTAAATCAGCCAAGCAGAGAATCGCAACCATATTGCTGGAAGCAATTTCTGATTCTCAATGTGCCAAGCTAAACAGAGCTGCCTCCAGAGGAAACATGTGTTTGTGTGTATGTGTGCGAATGCGTGCGTGCATGCATGCTCACACACATACACTGAGGGAAACAGAGGATCTTTGTATTTCTGAACAACTGCAGGCTAATCAAGTAAGGCCTGACTTGTCTGAATGAACATGGTCCTTGAGTAGCCTTGCTATCCCATTCTACTGCGAATATCAAAGAGAAGCTCTCAAAGCAAATATTAGCCTTCCTACCGTAACGTATACTGACACCTATACTGCAATCACCATTCCTCAGCAAAACCTCTGCTGCCACATAGTTTGCCTGGTGAGATGCTCCTTTTTTATCAGCTACCCTGCTCATGGATCATAGCATCATAGGGAAGTAGGGCTGGAAGGGACCTCGCAAAGTCATATGATCCAGCCCTGGTAACCTGTTTGAATTGTATGCCAAGTTGGTGTTCAGACCGTACAGACCCACAAAATCATTTAATCCATCTCAAGGCAGGAAAATCCCTGACTAAACCATCCCAACCAACTCTGTCTAACCTGTTCATGAAAATTTCCAAGGATGGAGATTTCACAACTTCTCTGTTCCAGTACTTGGCCACCCTCGCAGTCAGAAAGTTCTTCCAATTCTCCAACCTTAATTTCTTCTGCTGCAGTTTGAGGCCATTGTTCATAGTTTCATCCCTAGACCCAGGGAAAAGTCTATCTCTGTCCTCTTTATAATCTGTATTCTTTTTATGCGTGGTGTTAACTGAGGTACAACGTGGGCATGTCTACACGAGATGTTACATCGCCATAGCGACAAGCTATGGCAAAGTAGCTCATCACTATGGCAACGCAGCATTGGCAGGCACTAACTGTGACACTGCCCAACGAGCTCATTGCTACTGTGCAGTAGGGTCGAAAACGACCTGTGCGCTGCCGAGACTATGCAGTACCGGCGGGTACTGTGTAGTCATTTAGTACTTGCTAAGGGGCACGTATAGATGCACAAAGGGCACATATGGATGCTCCCAGGAAGACGTAAATTGACTAGAATCATATAGGGACTCAGGCTACAAAGAGACATCACATTTATCCTGGGTTAAACCTTTTTATCCTGGGACAAAGTGCAATGGGATAAAGTTCATGGGATAAGAAGTAACAACAGTTTGTCCATGGACTTGCACAGTGCATCTGAATGGTTACCCTGGGATTGCATCATCGAATCAATGGCAGAAAAGCAGCAATGTATTCAGCCACTCTTTAAACCCTGATTAGACGGGTGATGTGTACACACTCCAATCCAGGGCTATTTCTGTGCCGGGACAAACACAGGCATAACTTGTCCAGGGACAAATGCAACGTCTGTTCCTAGCCTCAGTGGTAGAGCCAAGGACAGCCCCTGGCATCCTAGTTCAAATTTCCCAGTTTAACCACTAGATGACACCCTTGGTGAATAAGCGTTCTTTTACCTGTTACACGTGAATGTAAAGCTATGAAATCAAAGGGATAAATGCAGCGCTGTTTTGTAAATATTTGAGTAAAGAAATCACGCACTGGAATTTATTAATGGTAACGTTTGCTTCTTTTTTTGTAACTAACAGAAGCACACGACCCTCTGCAGCAGTTCTCTTATAAGGTACAACCCACCACTCAGAAATCTGACTTGTTTAAAGACTGAGAAAACAGAAGGGCTTGGGAATTTAAAAAGCAAGCAAACAAAAAAAAAATCAGGTTCCTCTGAACCCAAGGACAAGTGACCTCAAAGCATCATGGACAACCATGTAAAATAGAATGTAGCAGCCATTTATTAGTAAAAAAACAAAAATCAAAAAATGCCTGTCCTGGATCTTTTTGGTGGTACCAAAGTTTAAGTCTTTGTGTTTTTAGAAGGACGACTGAACTGGGTAGAGTCTGAGAAAATGCTGCGAAAGGGACCGTGCTGATCCTTTCAACGCCTCAAACGCTGAAATCGTCTGCAAGTTCATCTTTTGCTTTTGAATAGTGATTGTTTCATGGAAAGAAGTGTGTGACTTGTCAGAAGGGCCACAATCACATTTGGATGGATGGATGGATGAATGGATGGTTGGATGGATGGATAGATAGATGGAAGGAAAAAGCGTTAGCCATACACAGTGCTTTTTAAAAGCAGACTGGAAATTCCAACACCTCCCCACTTCCAGGCCCCTGTTCTCCTCTGGTTCTTTGCCTGCTGTATGAATTAAGATTGTACTCTTCTGGAAATATTTTACAATTTAATATTGAGTGTAATTAAGAATATAATCACTGTTATCAAAAAAAGGTATTTAACTCTGTTGTAGTTTCTTTATCATTCATGTGGATAAAAAGTCTATAATAAAAAAAACCTAAAACTATGGTGCCCTGGTTGTGCTTCCTTGGAATTTAATATTGTGTGTTCATTAAAGAGATCGGCAAATCCGATATATATGTTAGCAATATTTTTGTTTTCAAATATTTGAATACATTTTATTTTTAAGTAGAAGGCTAAGATTGTTATTAGAAATGCAGAAATGGATAAATGAAGGTGATTTTGGGAGATGCAGGGATGGGATTTTCAAAAGCACTTGGCAGATTTGACCTGAAACAGCATCTTTTAAGTAGACTTAGGCCAAACTGTGAGGGTTCAGGAAAACTGCAGTCAATCTTGGGGTGTGTGCAAATGCCCATAGTCTGTTTAAGAGTATCCTATATATAGGCAGTATCATGATCACTTCAACCCAGCTGAATTTGCAGGGGCCCACATTAGGTTCCAGGCACTGCCTGACCCTGTAGCATAGATTTCAGGAGTATGGAGTACCTCATCCAGTCCCTCTGCACTGTTGTGAGTTTTGCAGATTTGACCCAACCAAAGCAAAGTGTGAAGACACTCTGGGAACAGATCACACTGGTATAAAATGTAGAAGACAGCAGGCACTTGGGTGAAGGTACAAAAACATATAGAAGCTGCAAGCCCTGTTGCTTATTGGGACAGGTAGTTCCTGCAGACTGGGTCAAACTCAGAGATTGTTATCATTCGTGTACTAGAACACCATTTAATCCACCATTTCTATTTAACTTCCTATATTTCAGATCTTGATGAGTACAGCCCATATAAATCCAACAACATTATGAGAAGAGGACCCCTAACAATTTATAAGCAGGGAGCTGAATTTCATGAGTGCTGAGTGCCCACAGCTCCTATTGATCCCTGATGGGAAACTGCTTAAGTTGTATTCCACTTTAAAAAGAAACATGCAGCTTGTGAAACGAATGTAAGTCTCCCACTTTGCAAGTTATAATACAAAAGACTGCTGTCAGGTTGACTGCAGATACCTTTTGGTTTGAGAACTAACAACATAGGACAGCAAGTTAAGAGTTGCTAAACTCTGTTCCAAGTCTTTGCTAGATCGGGGCCTGCTTGGTGGTACAAGGATTGTGACCTGGAAATAACCAAACAACATCAATTAAAACAATAAGCTTTTGTTTCTGGGTCTTCAGTCCTCTTTTTCTCCAGGGCCCCAGAACATCTTAATTCATCTCTGCCCCCTAGGCAGGAGTGAGACAGAAAATGAAAGCCATGGCCTGGAGACTCCGGCTGCTGTTGCAGCTGGAGCAATGGCAGGGAGCAGAAGTTAGGTAGGAGCCCAGGGGCTGCAATTTAGCCCCTCATGGGATGCATGTAGCCCACCAACCACCAGCTGGACAGTCCTGTTTTAGGGTATCATGGCACCAGCCGAAAAGGTCTGGAAGATTGGATCAAAGATTTCAGTGCGACCCTTTGGTGCTCCCCTTCCCTTACAGCTTTTATGCCAGATACTGACAGTGTGTTTGGATTCAGGGCAACTGGATCCTCATAATGAGAAATCTCACTGCAACCTGTAGCCTCAAATAAGTCTCTTGACCAAATCAATGTGGAAACAGCACTAACCTCTCACTCTTACAGAAGACTTGAGTTGTCCACCAGGTTCCTATGATCCTAAAGAGACTTCCCAACAGCTGGGAATTGGCTCCAGCTGCAGGTAAATTGATGAGGTTTTGATTAAAGTTTAAACAGGAAGCATGACATATTTTGGCACTTGCAATGTATGAATTTCATACCAATACTAGTGGGAAGCTATGCCTACGTCAGTTCTGGAGAGAGATGCAATAAAGAGTGATATAAATTTTTTGTGTGGGAGGGAAGGCACTGTTGACCAACTGATGGCAACATCTCTTGTGAAGAATGAGCTCTTCTGTAATGCTTACTGTGACGCATCTTACCTATCTGACTGAGGATAACCCACACTATATGGTAATAGCCTTGCTCAGTGAAAGATGACTAATTTGCTGTTATCAGAGTTCTGAAGCCATTGGTTTGATAAAGTGCATAGAGTATCTATTGTATATAACAGATTAGGAAAACCCTGCAGACCTAAGGAAACAATTGGCAAAAGGTTTTTCTTTTTCTATTCATTAATTTTCACCAAATGGATCATGACGTTCTTGAACGATTTTCTACAGAGAATAATCAGTAGCCTATGTGTTATCCAAGTTATTGATTGTGAGTGGAACAAATGACATTGTATCTCATGTAACTAACTCATGCAGATGACTTGGTGGTATATGTATCTGTTTTAAATTATACATTCACATTTAATATGTTATTGGTTAATTGTGCTGTACCGCATAGCCAGGACTCGAAGTTGACAAGCAGTCAAGCTGAGAGTTCACTTTTCACACTGGTGAAGCTGAAGGCTTTGATCATTCATAGGAAACAAACATAAAAGGTCATGACTGCAGTCAAACCTACTTCAAGTGAAAGCCATTGTGATTTTTATACTATTGTTTGTTTCTTTCTAATCAACCCTCTGCTTTTTGTAGCTGTTAATAATGCTCAGATCCCAGCTATTTTCCTCCCTGCAACAAAACAGCCATCAGCATAAAGAATAATACTACTGATTGCACCCTGGGGGGGTGTTGACACGTGCATTAGATCCAGGAGCAGTTTACTTTCGAGTAAACTACTCGTGTGTGAATGCTCCTGGGCAAGCATTTACACATGCAGGGATGCGGGAGTAGATTTGCTGCCAGTAACAGCAAACCGCTCCCACCTACTGGGGCCTTGTAAGATGTCTCCTGGCTGGGGCTGGGATTGCTCCCTGCCCCCAGGAGGCTGCCTGCTGCCAGGATGGGAACAATTCCTGGGAACAGGGAGCTCCTGGCCCCCAATCAGGGGCAGGGGACTTGGAAAGAGCTGCAGAGAAGGGGCAGGTCCTAGCCCCCTGCCCCAATCTGCCAGTGGGGCATCTAGCAGTGACCCCCTGGCTGGGCCAAGCCTCATGCCTCAATCACCCAATTGGGGCATGGGGTTGGGACCTGCCCATGACCTGGACAGTTCCCAGCCCCCGCTCTGCTACTGCAGGGTGGGAGCTGGAGAGCGGGTTCCCTGCCCAGCTTCGTTATCATGGAGCTGGGTGGGGATCAGGCTGGAGAAGTAGCAAAGTTATTCTCAATTAGAGCAGTTTACTGCACAGTAAGCGTGTACACGTGTAGATGCACATGCTTACTGCACAGTAAACTACTCTACTGCACAGTAAACTATCTCATGTAGATGCACCCTGAAGATACTAGATCACAGACCTAAGTGTCTGTGCAGTGATATTACTAGCTTGGGGCTTTCTTGCCTCTAATTCATACTTTCCCAAATTTTTCTCCCCTTGTTATCTATTGTTAAGGGCATTTACTTGAAAATAATCTTTCACCTACAGAATCTACAAAATCCTGATCCTTCTTCCTACTTAAAGTTACAGTTTCTCCGCGTCTTATGAGAATGCACAACAATGCCATCCTTTAGTGCAAAGTAACTCATGCCACTTTGATGCGACATCACATGATATTTTGATGGCATTTGACTCGATGACTTTCTAGCTTTTGTTGTTCCTGTCTGAAATCCCTGGTGAGCCATGCCCCATGTGTTGCAGAATAGCTACATACATAAGCACCTGCTAAGTCTGCAGCTGCAAACAGTATCAGTTAATGCCCTGATTATTAAAGAAAACATTCTTATCTTATCTCAGTATCAACCTGATTCAAAAAACAAAGTATTAACAATAGAGCCTTTGGGAGCTGGTATAAAGTTTGGGGAAGGAGGGCTTGATATGGCCCAATTAATGCATCACCCTTTGTTACAGGCAAGAAGTTAAAACACAGGTGGGTTACAACCAGTGATCAAAATCCACCTCAAAAAAATTACTGCTGGGTCTCTCCAGTTTCTTAATGATCCTCAGTGTGTCAATAGGAGTTGGTCCTGGAGCTCTGGATGGCAGAAGACTGTGGAAGTGCAAAGAGCAGGAGCTGCTGCTGAGAGGACACTGCCTCTGCTGTATTTCCAGGTAATACCAACAATTAAAACCAACTTTGCTTTTGCTGTTGATCATCTACCATTCTTGTGTCCTTTACTTTTCATGAAAGGCTTGTACTTCAGATGACCATAAGCTTCATTATTCCTGTTTCTCGGGGTTTCTGTGATACCTTAGGGTCTGCTATGGCAAAATGACGTGTTTAACAATAGCAGCTCCTCATTGGGTCTTATTCTCATTGAGCTAAATTATTTTTACACCCACAATCAGTAAGGAATGGTATGTAACTGTAGCACGGAGAAGTTACCGAATCCTACTTCCAACCCAATCTCATGTCATTCTTCACTTTTCATTATTACAGTGTTGCTTAGCAAAGTGCAATAACTCCCAAAGTGAAACAGTTGTGGATTCTGCTTTGCTGAATACCATTATATGTCTATAACTTACTGTAACTTGTACTT